CATCCAATCTGACAGAGCTTGAACTATTTTGCAAAGAAGCATGGACAAAAATGTCCCTCTCTAGATGTGCAAAGCTGGTAGAGACATCCCCAGAAAGACTTGCAGCTGTAATTGCAGTGAAAGGTGGTTCTACACAGTATTGACTCATGGGGGCTGAATACAAATGCACTCCACACTTTTCAGATATTTATTTGTAAAAAATTGTGAAAAACATTTATCATTTTCCTTCCACTTCACAATTATTTGCCACTTTGTTTGGTCTATCACATAGAATCCCAATAAAATATATTTACGTTTTTGGTTGTAACATTTTTCAAGGCACTGTATCAATGTGATTTAGGGACCTTAGATTATTAGCTCCTTGAAGGCAATGCTCTGTGAATTGACGGCACTATATAAGTACTTGTAATTAATACATTTCAAAACTTTTAAAAAGGTAACAAAGTTTGAGCCTCATATATGATCATAGTTTCAGGATAAAGGGTACCTGCATCATTCATAAAACCTTTAAATTCCTTAAAAAGTGAACATTTACTATCTTACAGGGGACATTTAGAATTAAATGTTATTCCTACACAGTATCCTGAATTATTTGTCTTGAATTCTTCCTGGTAAATGGAAGTACATTTCATTTGCCTAGACACTCCTGTGCCTTGAAATTCATACCAGTATATCTGTAAAATGTATGTAAGATCAATGCACTTCTGCCTTTGATTGCTAATCTCACAAGATTTGGCATGTGGAGATGTAACTACTGTGCTACTCATTGTTTTTTTTTTTGTTGGAAAGAAAGCTGTACCCGAGGACCTGTAGTGCAAAGATCGCCTTGCTTCTGCATTATTCATTCTCTGGAGCTGTCTTTTCTGCACTTCTGCAACTTTTTGAATATTCTAACATTAGTTATCAGATTACCAGTCATTGGAGGGCAGGTCTGAAATTTAAAGTGGTTCTAAAGTCTCAAGGTTTTTTATCTTCAAGCATTCTATGCATGAAGGTAAAAACCTTCTCTGTGCAGCAACCCCCTAATACTCATCTAAGCCCCCTCTCAATCCAGCGATGTGCTCTGGAGTCTCAGCTATCCTGGGACTCCCTCTTCTCATTGGCTGAGTCAGCAGCGGAAGTCATTGGCTCCCACTGCTGTCATTCACAGCCAGTGAGACAAAGAAAAGAGTGAGAGGGTGGAGCTGAGCAGCGGATTTGTTTGTAAATGGACACAAGGAGAAGCAGGTGCCCACCTAGCAAGCTGCTTTCTGTGGGAGCATCTGACAGGAGGGGAGGAGTCAGGAGCGCTGGCAGGGGACCCGAGAAGAGGAGGATCCGGGCTGCTCTGTGCAAAACCATTACACACAGCAGGTAGGTACTGTATAACATGCTTGTTATTTTAAAAAAAAATAAGCCTTTAGTATCACTTTAAAAACAAAGCCCTGCCTCGAACAAGATGGCCTCTGCCATACAGAGACACAATGCAGAATAATACATATTAAGTCAGTAATGAGGAAAGGATCTTCTTCAGGGAGCCTATAGGCAATCCTTTTGATTAATCATTGGACCCTTGTTTGCCTTATTTTTGGGCAAAACCCTGACAGTACAGAGGTCCTCCTTAACTTGGAAGAATAAAAGGTGTTCAGATAGTTAGCCGTAGATTTTTCAGGCTTAGTTTAAACTTTATAGAAGTTGTTAAATTGTTGAGAAATGATTCTTAATAGTCCTCCCTTTACCCATCTTCACCCTTTTATCTAAGGGGCAAATGCACAATTATGTGTTCATGGTTACATGCATGTTAAAGTGCATTGTTGCCCCCGTTCACATCCTACTTGCCCAACACAGCAAAAAACATGGCTGACTTGTTTTTTCTAACACTGCATTGCAATCTATGTTCTGTAGTGTGTTGAAGGGTCAGGTGTGTTGTTCACTGCTTTTACGTGCATTGAAGGCTCATTAGAACTCTACTAAATGACCCGCTAAAATCTATGTGCAAAGCATGCTACTCATGGGTGTTAGCACACTTGATAACATGACCTAGCATGCCTTAAAGCGACTGAAAAGCCTAGTCTTTTATTTTTTTAATATAACAAACATGTTATACTGACCTGCTCAGTGCAATGGCTTTGCACAGAGCAGCCTTGATCTTCCTCTTCTGGGTTCACATGCTGACTGTGTCCACTCCCCCCCCACCCCGCAAAGTGCCCTCATATTAAGCTGCCTGCTACAGGGGCACTTGTGAATGCTTGCTCCAGAGCCATCTCTGTGTGTCCATAAGACACACAGAATGCGGCTTGGCCCTGCCTCCTGCTCCATCCTCACTGGCTGTGATTGACAGCAGCTAAAGCCAATGGCCCCCGCTGCTGTGTCTAAGCCAATGACGGGAGAGAGAGCTGAGAGAGCCTCTGCTCTTGTGCACATTGCTGGATTGAGATCAGGCTCAAGTAAGTTTTAAGGGGACTGGGGGGAACAGCACACTGAAAGTTTTTTACTTTAATGCAGGTAAAGAACTTCAGACTTTAGAACCACTTCAAAGTGCACATAACATGCCGGTGTTACAGGCAATATACCTGCATATGTAGGTTTAAAAACTATCCTTGGTGCCTAAACGGAAAAAGAACTACAGTAACCTGTGATTTTCCATGTTTGTGAGCGCATTATACATATTTGTTTAATAAAGTGTTCATTTATTACAGTATCTTACTGCACTATGATTGTTTGCTATGTGTCTCCCTGTCCCTTTTTGTCTTTGACATGCAGGATGCCTGAATATTTTTGAAATTTCATGTTATATTTAATACCTGTATTTAGAGTTGTTCTTATTACGGCAGCCAGGGAACAGTGTTTGAAAGTAACATAGCATACCATTGATGGCACTGTTAAGAATGGGGAGCATAGATCCCCAGAGATCATGGAGCAGGTGGTGACAAGGCAAAGTCTGTAGTGCTGAATGTTGCTCATGGTATTATGGAGAGGGATTGCGGTGGAGAGTAGTGTGAACAGGCCCAGATCTGATCTGAATGTATGGTGGACACTGTGTGGGTGGGGTGACCTGAAAAAGAAATAACTGCAGATAGTGAATGGAGAAATACAGAGAAAGGGGATGGGAGAGATGGAGGAGGGAGAGTTGCAAAAAAATGCACTGTCGACAATGAGGAGACAGCTGCTACAAAACAGTGAGGACGGGAACGGGGGGAGGAGGAGCTGTTCCAATGTACTGTATTAATTCAGTTCTACAAGAATAAAGTTGGGTACATTTTCCTTCAATTTTTTTGTTTAACCTTTCGCCGCCCGGCCAATGGCCATTTGGTGGCCGGTAAAATCCCTCAGCGTTCCAGGTGGACGCCATATGGCGTCCTCCCGGCATGCGCAGTTTGCACGCCTGCAGAGCCGCGCAGCGGCACGATCGGTCATCGGCCATGTACCTCGGACACGGCCGATGACAGATCTGAGTACCAGCCCCCTTGCAGGTATACAGTTGTATACAATACAGTTGTATACAATGGATGGCTTCATTCATGCCATCCATTGTATACTAGTGTGTCTAGCTGTGAATGGTCACAGCGATCACTTGCACAAGCTGGGCCAATCACAGCCGTGGCCAAATCACAGCGAAGCACAAAAAAAAAAAAAAAAAAAAACCCCTGAATGAATCAATGTCATTCAGGTAAATGCTTGCTTATAGCAAAGTAATTCTTTGCTATAAGCAAATGGTGTAAAAAAAAAAAAAAAAAATACTGATCACTTCCCCAAAGTAGTACAATGTTACTATGGTAACATTGTACTACTTTGGTCATAGTGAAATATGAAAAAAAAATCTTAAAAAAAGAAAAAAATGTAATAAAAAATTAAAAAAAATTATATATTTTTTTTTTATACTGTCAGTGTCCTGATCACCGCCATGCCAGTTATATGATGACGCTGTACTGCACTGGTGACAGTATGTAAAAAAAAAATAGTGAAAAAATTTTTTTTTCATTTTCCGAAAAATTATGACAAAAACATACAACTTCAAAAAACTCGCCATGCCTCTTATGAAGTACGTCGGAATGTCTACTCTGCAAACAGTGGTCATTTGGGGGATATCTGTACTGTTCTGACATTCTTGGACCTCAAGAAATTAGATTGGCCGTCAGTACTTCAGGATTGATCAATATTCAGATCTATACCATAGTTTGTGAACTCTATAACTCTCCTACAAACTAAAAAATACATCCTAATTTGGGTTATTTTCACCAAAGACATGTAGCAGAATACATCTCGGCCTAAATTTATGAAGAACAATTATTTATTTGCAAACTTTTATAACAGACACAAAGAAAAAATTTTTTTTCTTCAAAATTTTCAGTCTTTTTTTGTTAATTTAGCAAAAAAATAAAAATCCCAGCGGTGATTAAATACCACCAAAAGAAAGCTCTAGTTGTGTGAAGAAAATGATAAAATGTTAGTTTGGGTGCAGTGTTGTATGACCGCGCAATTGTCATTCAAAGTGTGAGAGCACTGAAACATGAAAAATGGCCTGGGCAGGAAGGGGTCAAAAGTGTCCTGTATGGAAATGGTTTAAACCATTTGCCCTCCAGAGGATTCCCCCCCCCCCCCTTTTTCTGCGATACAGCTCTGCGTTACATTAACTGACAATTGCACGGTTATGCAACGTTGTACATAAATGAAATTTATGTCCTTTTTTACCCACTAATAGAGCTTTCTTTTGGTAGTATTTGATCACCTGTGCCTTTTTTATTTTTTGCACTATAAACAAAAAAAGACCGACAATTTTGAGAAAAAAACAATATTTTTGACTTTTTGCTATAAAACATGTGCAGTAAAAAAAATTTAAAAATCACATTTCTTCATAAATTTAGGCCAACATGTCCTTGCTAATAAATAGAGATGAGCGAATTATTCAAAAATTCGATTCGGCTGATTCGGCGAATTCGCGGAATAAATTCGATTCGAGTCGAATATATTCGCTGCGAATTTAACTTATAAAAAGGGTGTTTCTAGGCTTCAGAGAGCCTTTATATTAGTGCAGAACACTGTACCTTTAATTTAAATGCCTTTGGAGTCTGCTGGGGAAGAGAAATAATACTGTCAGTCAGTATGACATGCAGATGAGTGCCGTCGATCTTAGAATCACCGCACACTTCACTCATTTGGGCAGTCACGGGGCCAAAACCAGAGTGTGGAGCCACAGTGTGTGTCAGAGCCTGGAATCGAACCTGGGCCTTCTGCGGTGAGAGACAGTGTTTCTTCTCGCTGAGCCACCTGGAATGCTGGACAGCTCCCTTGACAATTCTTTGGATGATCCCCTTTGCCCTGTTTTGTCTTGAACCTTGAACTCCTTGCTCCTCCCATGAACTTCCTATAAAAGCCATGTCTCTGCACTTCCTGGTTGCCAGATTATTGTGCCTTACCAGCCAATATCCTGCTTACTGTTCCTGCTGCTGTCTTCATCTACGTTACCGACCTTTGGCTTGCTACTGACTACGATTCTGCCTCATCCTATCTACTACCATTGGTGACCGACCCCTTGGCTTGTGACTGACTCCGCTTCTGTTTAATCCCTGAACTGTTTGATCCGCTTTTGGTTTCCAGCCTACTCATTCCCTGGTGGGGTGATCCTGAGACCTGTGACCTGGCATTCACACGCAGCCAAATCCATCTCCACCATTAGGAGCTCTGGGGAAGACCGGTGGATGCTTAGACCCCGCACCTCAGGTGAGCCTGCGTCATTCCCAGGGTGGGCCGCTGGTGTACCAATCCTGCTGGTTTCAGGTAAGCCTTACAACTGCTGTAGCAACTGGTCTCTGAACCTGACCTTATATCGTGACAGAATAATCTGGCCCAAACATGGAGGCCGCTATAGCAAATGTTGTGAATCCTCTTAGGCAGCAAATTGCTGAGCTGCAGGAATTTGGGGTTACCCATCAGGAAAAAGTTGCCAAACTGGAAAGCATTGTGGATAGGCAACAGGGAGAGATTCAGGCTCTGCAGAGGCAACTGCTGAACCGTGATGATCCTAGCTCACATATGCCCCAGCCCCAACCATCTAAGTTTAATGGAGACCGCCGCCAATACAGGGGTTTCCTTAATCAATGTCGCATATATTTTCAAATGTACCCTGCTGCGTTTCCTTCAGAGAAAAAGAAGGTAATGTTTATTATTGGGCTTCTTACTGGGGAAGCTTTAGCTTGGGCCTCCCCTTATATAGAGCAAAACCATGGCATTCTAAATAATTTTGATACCTTTTTGACCGCGATGAATCAGGTTTTTGATGATCCCAACCGTTGTGCTTCTGCCGAAGCAAAATTACATAGTCTAAGGCAGGGTAGACGCTCGGTCGCTGAATACACAGCCGAGTTCAGAAGTTGGGTTGCAGATACCACTTGGAACCCTGCAGCACAAAAGAGCCAGTTCCGCCAAGGGCTTTCTGAACAGGTAAAGGATGAGCTTGCCAGAGGTGATACTCCTAATGATCTTGAGGAATTCATCCAATTGTGTATCCGAATCGATCAAAGACTTACAGAAAGGAGAAAGGAGAAGCTGGGAATACTTGGAAGTAATAGGGGCATGCATCTCTCTGCTAGTCCATTTGTTCAGCAGGATTCAAGAGTCTCTCTGGGTTCTAACACTCCTGAGCCTATGCAGGTTGATGCAATCAAGAGATCCATCTCCATTCAGGAGAAAGAGAGAAGACGTTCAGAGAATTTATGTCTTTATTGTGGGGATTCTGGTCATTATGCAATTAATTGTCCTAACAAGGTTAAAAGAACTATTGCTGTGACTGATGTGATTGAGCCTGAACACATAAACTCTATAAGCCAGTCTGTCTCCCCACTGATTTCTGAAGAGAATAAAGTGAACTCCCTACTTTCTCACTTTGTTATCCCTATTAAACTTGTATTTGAGGGCCATGAAATCTCCTGCTCAGCTATGCTGGACTCCGGGGGGGGGGGGAACTTTATGGATATAGAGTTTGCCAACAGCAATAATATTGACGCAAGAGACACATTTACCCCTATTGATATGGAGACAGTTGATGGGTCACCCTTATCTTCAGGACCTGTTACCCATAAAACGGTCCCCCTGAAACTGTTGTTTGAGGCTGACCATTGTGAGACCATCAGCTTTCAGCTGATTACATCACCCAAGTTTCCCATCATCCTGGGCATTCCTTGGTTCTCCACTCATAATCCTTCCATCAACTGGGGAGCACGGACTATAGATTTTACGTCCTCCCACTGTGAAAAACATTGCAAAAAACCTTGCCGACCAAGTTCATCACCGACCAAGGAAGCGCAAGGTGATATAGTGGCTACCCAGTCATATGACAACTTGCCCACACATTACCATGAGTTTCGGGACGTCTGTGACAAGAAGAATGCAGATCTATTACCCCCTCATCGCCCATATGATTGCCCCATTGAGCTGCTCCCAGGGGCAGAAATACCTTTTGGCCGCCTCTTCAATCTGTCGGAACCTGAATTAAAAGTACTCAGGGTGTGGATCGATGAGAATTTGGAGAAGGGCTTTATTAGACACACTCAACTTCTCCAGCGGGGGCAGCCCTGTTCTTCGTTGAAAAGAAAGACTCCACCTTGCGTCCATGCATTGACTACAGAGACATGAATAAAATTACTATTAAAAACCGCTATCCATTACCTTTGATCTCTGAAATGTTGGAAAGACTTCGCTCTGCCAAGATCTTTACCAAGCTTGATCTACGAGGGGCATATAACCTTGTCCGCATTCGTCAAGGAGACGAATGGAAGACTGCCTTCAGAACCAGGTATGGGCATTTCGAGTCCTTGGTGATGCCGTTTGGACTTTGCAATGCCCCTGCAACATTTCAACATTTTGTCAACGATGTTTTTCATGATCTGCTGGACCAATTTGTGATTGCCTACCTAGATGATATCCTTATCTTTTCCAATAATTGGGAGGAGCACCGCAAACATGTTTGCACAGTCTTTGAAAGATTAAGGAAGAATAGACTCTACATTAAATTGGAAAAATGTGAGTTTGAACAAACCCAGATCCAGTTTTTAGGCTATATCATTTCTCCAGAGGGCGTGAGCATGGATCCTGAGAAGATCAAAGCAGTGGTAGATTGGTCAGCACCTGGAAATGTTAAGGAAATTCAACGTTTCGTTGGGTTTGCCAACTTTTACAGAAAATTTATAAGAAACTTTTCTAAAGTGATAGCTCCAATCACACAGCTTACAAAGAAAGGGGTACCCTTCGTGTGGACCTCTGAGGCACAAGCTGCGTTTGAAAAACTAAAAAAACTCTTTTCACTTCTGCACCAATTTTGGTACATCCGGATCCTGAACTACCCTTTACAGTGGAAGTGGATGCCTCCAATTCTGCCGTGGGAGCGATCCTGTCTCAGCGAAGTGGTGAAAAGATGCAGCTTCATCCTTGTGCCTTCTTCTCCCGTTTGATGTCCTCAGCCGAAAGAAATTACGACATTGGGAATAAAGAGCTACTGGCAATTAAGGAAGCCTTTTCTGAATGGAGGCATCTGCTAGAAGGAGCTAATCATCCTGTAACTGTTCTCACAGACCATAAAAATCTGGAATTTATTCGTTCGGCCAAGAGATTGTCTTCTAGACAAGCTCGCTGGTCTCTATTCTTTTCCAGATTTAATTTTGTTATATCATATCGACCGGGATCGAGGAATGGTAAGGCCGATGCCTTATCAAGGATGTTGTCCGAGCCTCTCCTGGAGGGCAACTCCGAATATTCCATCCTAACACAAAAGAACTTCCTAGGGGCCACAAGTGCAAAGACGTTCTTGAGTCTTCTCAAAGAGGGGTATGAGAATGCCACCCTTCTTCTCAATGATCCTCCTAGGGACATGAACCTGGTGTACAAAAATGGCTTTTGGGTTCAAGGACATCATCTTTATGTACCTGAATCTGTTCGGGTGGAAGTTCTCAAGTTGGTTCATGATTCCAAACTTGCTGGGCATTTTGGAGTTACTAAGACCGAAGAACTGTTGTCACGTTCCTTTTGGTGGCCGGGGTACAAGAAGGATGTCAAACGCTATGTGGCCTCATGCTTGACCTGTGCACGCAATAAAACTCCCCGAGCCTCTCCTTTGGGGTTGCTTCAGCCACTCCCTGTTCCATCGAGACCATGGGGGTCTATTTCTATGGATTTTGTGGTAGATTTACCTCCCTCAAAAGAAATGACCACCATTTTGGTGGTGGTTGACCGTCTCACAAAGATGGCCCATTTTGTTCCAGTGAAGGGGGTGCCCACTGCTGAACAGACTGCAGAACTAATGGTTCGAGAAGTATTTAAACTGCATGGAATCCCTGATGATGTGGTGTCTGACAGAGGTGTGCAGTTTACTTCAAATTTTGGAAAAGCTTTTGCTCAGCCTTGGGTGTTACAATTAATCTGTCCTCTGCTTTTCATCCCCAGTCTAATGGTCAGACTGAGAGAACTAATCAAACAATGGAGCAGTATCTTCGATGCTTTGTCACTTATCTTCAGGATGACTGGGTGGACTGTATTCCCACTGCAGAGTTTGCATACAACAATTCTAAACATAGTTCCACCTCTCAAAGTCCCTTTTACTTAAACAACGGTTATCATCCAGTTTTTATTCCTGATCTCCCTATCACAACTCCAATTCCTGCTGTTACCAACAGACTAACTACATTGCAGGAGATTCAGGAGAAATTGATAGAGACTTTGAGGGAAGCTCAGGAATATTACAAAAAGGCTGCTGACAGACACCGGAGAGCACTTCCTACGTTTCATGTGGGTGACAAAGTTTGGTTATCAACGAAGAATCTGAAGGTGCATGTGCCATCTGCTAAGTTGGGTCAAAAGTTTGTTGGTCCTTTTCAGATTTCGGCTCAGATCAACCCAGTTACCTTTCGCTTAAAACTTCCTGACAGTATGAAGATTCACCCGGTTTTTCATGTATCGCTTTTCAAATCATTTCATGAAAATCCTTTCTCTGGTAGATTTCTTCCACCTCCTCCACCTGTTGAGGTACAGGGCGAAGAAGAATATGTGGTGGAGAAGATTCTTGATTCTAGGATGTTTAGAGGGAAGTTGCAATATCTGGTCCAATGGGAAGGATATGGGCTAGAGGAAAATTCTTGGGAGCCTGAGGAAAATGTTCATGCTCCTAGACTAACAAGAGAATTCCACCAGAGGTTTCCCCACAAGCCTGGTCCTAAGACATCCAGGGGACGTCCTGTGAGGAGGGGAGTACTGTCAGAGCCTGGAATCGAACCTGGGCCTTCTGCGGTGAGAGACAGTGTTTCTTCTCGCTGAGCCACCTGGAATGCTGGACAGCTCCCTTGACAATTCTTTTGGATGATCCTGCCTTTGCCCTGTTTTGTCTTGAACCTTGAACTCCTTGCTCCTCCCATGAACTTCCTATAAAAGCCATGTCTCTGCACTTCCTGGTTGCCAGATTATTGTGCCTTACCAGCCAATATCCTGCTTACTGTTCCTGCTGCTGTCTTCATCTACGTTACCGACCTTTGGCTTGCTACTGACTACGATTCTGCCTCATCCTATCTACTACCATTGGTGACCGACCCCTTGGCTTGTGACTGACTCCGCTTCTGTTTAATCCCTGAACTGTTTGATCCGCTTTTGGTTTCCAGCCTACTCATTCCCTGGTGGGGTGATCCTGAGACCTGTGACCTGGCATTCACACGCAGCCAAATCCATCTCCACCATTAGGAGCTCTGGGGAAGACCGGTGGATGCTTAGACCCCGCACCTCAGGTGAGCCTGCGTCATTCCCAGGGTGGGCCGCTGGTGTACCAATCCTGCTGGTTTCAGGTAAGCCTTACAACTGCTGTAGCAACTGGTCTCTGAACCTGACCTTATATCGTGACAGTGTGGCGGTGGAGGCAGCAGCAATGGGAGGCCATACAGCACCCTATGACAAAATGGAACCCACCAGCAGTGTGAGGAGACCTGAAAGTGGCACATGGCAGAGTGTGGCGATGGAGACAGCAGCAATGGGAGGCCGTACAGGGACCCATGACACACTCTGGACCTGGCAGCAGCATGAGGAGGCGGTACAGGGGCCCATGACAGATTACGGGCCTGGCAGCAGCATGAGGAGTCGGTACGGGGGCCCATGGCAGATTACGGGCCTTAACTGGCTGATAGAGGGCGATTGACGTCGGGTGACGGAGCAAGTAACGGAGCGGGTGATGGAGCGGGGGCTGGGGCAGGCAGAACCGCCGTATCTTTATCACGGTTTTCCCAGGCCACCGAATGGCGACGCTGCATATGCTGCCGCAACGCTGTAGTCCCAACATGGGCCCCCTGGCCACGCTTGACTTTCTGGCCACATAGTCGACATACGGCTACGTTTACTTCCTCGGGCGGCTTGACGAAAAATTGCCACACCGCCGAGTAGGAAACTTTGCCCCCGATACTCCTCACTGGCTGACTGCTACTTCCTCCGTGCACACCGGCACCACTACTGGCCGTGGTGGTAGGCTGCAGTAGAGCTGGTGCTCTACTCCGTGGCCGTTTGCCTCCACTGACACTGCTGCGACCCTGCTGCCTCCTGGGCAACCCACCGACTGTTTTGCTCGCTGCCAAGCTGGCACCCTCTTCTCCTGATGATGCGGAAGCAATAGCCTGATGACGACGAGGCTGCCAAGTGCGATCAGCCTCATCATCATCAATTAGGGTCTCCGCCTCACTACTAGCCCCCTCGGCTGCGTGTGGGTCAGGAGACAGACCTGTCTCTAGACCGGCTACCGAGCCACTCTCCTCGCCAGTACTTCTTCGCCTGGCTGCTGAAGAGGCGGATGTCTCCCCCCGTTCCTGACCGCCCTCTGTTAGCTCTTCCTCACTGTACAGTGGGGCTGAGCCCACAGCATGCGATACTTCGCTTGGTGAGGGAACACCAAAGGACAGGGGCAGGTAGAGGACACGTGATTTCAGTGGGCTTGCTCCCGGGCCATGCCAACTAACGGTTGTGTCTGACGTACCCACCGACCGTTGGCTGTAGGTGTCAGAGGTGACCTGGGAAGAGGAAGACGACCGAGCCAAGCAATCGATGACGGCAGGGTTGTCGGTGGAGACACGACCGCTGGATGACACCGGGAGCACTGGCCTCTGGCTGCGACTAGTGCTGCCTCGACCCCTTCCTCTGCTGCCACGTCTGCTCGCTCCTGAAACATTGCCTCCTCTGCCACTCCTCTGCGTGTTGTCTGACATACTCTTTAATTCAACGATTCTGTGTCCCTGAGTAACAATTCTGTGTCCCTGAGTAACAATTCTGTGTCCCTGAGTAACAATTCTGTGTCCCTCAGTAACGCTTCTGTGTCCCTCAGTAACGCTTCTGTGTCCCTCAGTAACGCTTCTGTGTCCCTCAGTAACGCTTCTGTGTCCCTCAGTAACAATTCTGTGTCTGTCCCTGAGTAACGATTCTGTGTCCCTGAGTAACGATTCTGTGTCTGTCCCTGAGTAACGATTCTGTGTCCCTGAGTAACAATTCTGTGTCCCTGAGTAACGATTCTGTGTCCCTGAGTAACAATTCTGTGTCTGTCCCTGAGTAACGATTCTGTGTCCCTGAGTAACAATTCTGTGTCCCTGAGTAACGATTCTGTGTCTGTCCCTGAGTAACGATTCTGTGTCCCTGAGTAACGATTCTGTGTCCCTCAGTAACGATTCTGTGTCCCTGAGTAACAATTCTGTGTCTGTCCCTGAGTAACGATTCTGTGTCCCTGAGTAACGATTCTGTGTCCCTGAGTAACGATTCTGTGTCTGTCCCTGAGTAACGATTCTGTGTCTGTCCCTGAGTAACGATTCTGTGTCCCTGAGTAACGATTCTGTGTCCCTGAGTAACGATTCTGTGTCCCTGAGTAACGATTCTGTGTCTGTCCCTGAGTAACGATTCTGTGTCTGTCCCTGAGTAACGATTCTGTGTCTGTCCCTGAGTAACGATTCTGTGTCTGTCCCTGAGTAACGATTCTGTGTCTGTCCCTGAGTAACGATTCTGTGTCTGTCCCTGAGTAACGATTCTGTGTCTGTCCCTGAGTAACGATTCTGTGTCCCTGAGTAACAATTCTGTGTCTGTCCCTGAGTAACGATTGTGTCCCTGAGTAACGATTCTGTGTCCCTCAGTAACAATTCTGTGTCCCTGAGTAACAATTCTGTGTCTGTCCCTGAGTAACAATTCTGTGTCTGTCCCTGAGTAACGATTGTGTCCCTGAGTAACGATTCTGTGTCCCTGAGTAACGATTCTGTGTCCCTCAGTAACAATTCTGTGTCCCTGAGTAACAATTCTGTGTCTGTCCCTGAGTAACGATTCTGTGTCCCTGAGTAACAATTCTGTGTCCCTGAGTAACGATTCTGTGGCCCTAAAGTCTCTGTGGCCCTAACTCTGTCCCTAATACACAGAGGTCTGTCTCTCTTGAATGACCGGAGGCTAATGGAGAATTCTAAGATGGCAGCAATTTATAGCTCCACCATTACACAGTGCTGGCTGGCTGGCTGGCTGCTGATTGGCTAATGCGATCACATGTCATGAATGAATGCATTATGGGTCAGCGCGCCTTGTCTGCGCGCCTTCCCAGAGATCCCCGCTCCGTCGCCACACATGTCGCCGCCATTTTTGGGAAAATTCGATTCGTGCATCCGAAGTTTACTAATTTTCGGATTCAGCGCGAATCGAATTTTTCCTGATCTTCGAAACGAATTCCACTTCGCCATGTTCGATTCGCTCATCTCTACTAATAAAAATCACAATACATGTAAATTAATTGGTTTACATGAAAGTTATAGTGTTTACAAATGGCAGTATATATACCGGAATTATTTTATTTTTTTCACTAGTAATGGTGGCGATAAGCGACTTATTGCGGGGACTGTGGGACTGCGGTGGGCATTATGACACTAGGTGGGACCTGACTAACTGCCACAGACATCCCCAGTGACACTAATACAGTGATCAGTGCTAATAAAAAGCACTGTCACTGTACTAATGACACTGGGCAGGAAGGGGTTAACATCTGGGGCGATCAAAGGGTTAACAGTGTGCTGTGTGTGTTTTACTATGTAGAGAAGCTGCTTTGCATTGCTCTGGTGTGCAGAGCAATATAAAGCAGCCTGTTTGTGTTGACAGGGGAGAGATCTGTGCTGTTTACACCCAGACCTCTCCCCTGGCAGCTCTGCCAACGATCACCGAGTCCCAGCCGAGAACCTCTGTAAGATTTCAGTGTCCATGTTGGGGGGGGATTTCCACTCATGGCGATTCCAAGACACATCTTTCTAAAGGAGATATATACAGCAGTAAAAACAGTAGGTAACACAAAGAAGCTTTGTCAGGTTTTTGATGCTTTTTGTGTTCTTAATGATGAGTTGAATATCTTCATCCAAAATAAAACTGGCACTTGCTATAATCAGCTTTTAAAATAAAGTATGCATGGGCAGGGCAGTTCTCAAAACAATATGGCAACATGATACAAAAAAATTACCCCGAACACAGGCCAACTAGCCAGAAAAAAAAAAAAAAAAAAAAAGTCTAAACTGTTTCATCCATGTGTGGTAAAAACAGAGGTTTTTGTTGCATACATTGGAAAATATTTGTTAATCACACTGGACCCCGAGTCTCCTCTGCAAAGCATGGTCCCTAATTCTAGTCTAATGGAGCTTCCAACTTGGGATATATACTGCAATAAATAAAATGAGGGCAGGTACTGTATACCTTGTAGGTAGCCCTCATCCACACCTTAGAGGTAAACCCAACCCTCCTCAAATATGCAGAGACACACAAGAAGCTCAATGATAGGTTGAAACCACCTGAAGAACTCCAGGATTTATTAGCTCTAAATCCAACAATCAAAGTGAAAATGGCGTCCGCCCTGACCAGTATATACCTAACTGTTTACTCATAGGTCCGCTTCCATTTGGCAGTGATGATAAATCTCTGCATTAAATAACTTTCAGAAGTTCTATCGTTTCTAAAGTTTCCTAAAAAAAATACAGTTTTGCAATGGAAATACACAACTTAAACAGATTTCAGAAAATGAATTTCACAATAACATCTCAAAGGATTAAGTGAAAGTTGTTCCATCTGTTTACTTGAATTAATATAACAGTTACTCTGTGGAATAAAACAAGACTCCCCAGTTACTATTTTCTCATTGTAATGGTTTGTGAGTCATATGGGACAAGTCTCAGAAATGTTTGCAATGTACTTGAGAAAGGCCTTCTGTGTGAAAAAAAACTGGAAATGTATTCAAACACATTCAAAACTTTCCCAGAACTTCTACTGACATTTGCAGAGGAAAGATCAGTGGCAGGCAAAAAGCCAAACAACCAATACTGTACTGTTCAATAGGGATTGTCTATCTTATTACAGTTCGCATCCCTTTATAAAAGCCAATGTTGAATACCTCCTAATGTGCAACACCTACTTTCAAGTACTCCTTGACTTTGGATCAGTTATTACCAGAACCTCCTAATTGTGTGTCCATGTTTTCCAAAAAAAAAAATCTGTTTTGACTTATAAATCTTCACTGCAATCAATTGTGAATAATATAATTTTTTTGTTAAAAACTCTAAAACTGAGGTGATGCTTGCTGTAAGAGGTACCATTTGAACACATTAGAAGTGACCAATGATGTACGTCTACCATTTATAAAGATAAAGTTCTCTGGATCTATAAAATATTGTTATAGTGCATATTTCAATGTTTGGTAGATGATGATATTATACACCAGACAATTTCTATCATCTCTCTGTGACCATATTGGTGAGATCTGTGATGACTTCCCAGGATTGCACAGAATCTATTGCCGTCAGATGGGTTTCCACTTTCTTTGACAATTTTTGTATTAGTTTTATTTTTACTTAAACAATGACTGTTTTATATTTTTAAACTTCTCTTGCACACAATTCGGCATTCTAACAGTACACAGATGTATCTAAATTACTTGCCTTCACTTTGCCAAATGCATGTTAACTTTTCAAAGTGAACATTCATTTTGTAAATTGAATAGTTGCTCCTTTAGTAAATAAACTCCAGTCAGTTAAAATATTGTTGGGATGGGTAGGTTTAACTGGCCAGAATTTGTATTTTGGAACTGAGCCAATGGTCACGATAAGGATGAAGAAGCTAGGAAGTAAAAAGCACAACCTGAACACTGATGTTTTGGTTGTGACCATGAGAATGAACATGGCAACTTGATCATTGGAATCTCTCCAAATCCCTCCATTCAGGGCTATAAGAAATATCTTAGATAAATTAGAATAAAATCTGTTCCTCACCTCCACTAGATAAATACCGGTAACATGTTTTGGTTGA